CCACCCCCACCCCCAATGAGCTGTCCTGCTATGTCTTTTGGAGTCTTGGTTCAGAAGGGGAAACTCTAGGGTTCCTCTCTGAGCTCTCAGAATGTTCTCGCTTAGATTTTAAAGATGGCATTTAGAAACTTTTTGAATTTGTAGGGAGGATAGAGACTGGCTTCAAATTCTTAAGTATTTTTGCATACTGTGGCCTTTCCTAGTGCCAGCTACCTCTAACTTCCTGTGATGTAATTGTGTCTTATCAGCAAGAAAGGGAATTGGAAAGACTGGGTTTGTGGTTTGGGTTTATGTTTAACCTTTCACCCTTTCCTATTTTTAGAATGACAGCCTGTCCTCAGTAGCTGTAGTTTTTTTTTTGGTGGGGGGGCTTGGGGGTGGGAAGGTCTGAGAGGGGGTAGGGAAGGTGGACAGGTTCCCCCTTTTTTGGTATATTAAACCTGAATGAAGAATGCTAACTGATGGTGGCAGCTTCAGAGCAATGCCTTCCATTGTGCAAGATGTAGTTTGCGAAATCCATTTACATCCTCCGTGTAGTAAGTGTCGCTTAGCCACGGCTATAATTAGAGGCTGTGCACTATTTATTGTATGTTTGCTGGTGGGAACCCTAGTAGCAGAGCCAAACAGCCCTTCCTGGTATAGCCAGACTGGGTGTCCAGGAAGGCTGGAAGGTCTCAACCAGTGTTGGGGGGGCTGGCCATTGCCATTAGAACTAGGCCCTGAGAGAACTGATGGTCGCAGCTAGTCTTTGAGTATAGAACCTTCTCAGAAAAATGTGTATACCCCTTTCAGAGATGCCTTCTGAAAAGAAGGGAGCCAGGTTAAGATGATATCCCCAGGAGGGGTTTATTCCAGGTGGCAACAGCAGTAACTGCCAGCCTCCTGGAGACCTGAGCAGCAGCTCCAAGAATTATAAAGATTCTCAGCAAGAACAGAACTCCAGAAGCTCTGCTCTTACCAGTGGTGGCTCAAGACTAGCTGAGGACTAGTAATAGGACCACAGCTCTTAAACAGACAAAACAGTTTGATGCATGCATAATTCTCTGGATTCCAAGCCCAATTCATTCTCACCTTTTTTTCTTCCTTCCAGACTGTGTCAGGGAAAAGGGAGGCAAGGTCCTGGTCCACTGTGAGGCCGGAATCTCTCGCTCGCCCACCATCTGCATGGCTTACCTCATGAAGACCAAGCAGTTCCACTTGAAAGAAGCCTTCGATTACATTAAGCAGAAGAGGAGTGTGATCTCGCCCAACTTCGGCTTCATGGGTCAACTCTTGCAGTATGAATCTGAGATCCTGCCTTCCATGCCTAACCCCCAGGCTCCCTCTTGCCAAGGGGAGATGGCAGGCTCTTCATTTGTAGACCATTTGCAGACATTGAGCCCGGATGTGCAGGGTTCCTACTGTACATTTCCTACCTCGGTTCTGGCCCCAGTGCCCACCCACTCAACGGTCTCAGAACTCAGCAGGAGCCCCGTGGCCACAGCTACATCCTGCTAAGTCTACAATGGGGAGCCAGCCCAGCCCCAAGAGCAACTGTGATATACTGTGTTTTAAACTCGTGAACATTTCATAACCTTTGCGATACTGAAGGCCTCACTCTATCATGCTGTCCCAGTGGGATAGTGACGGGGTCATCAATTGCAAACAGACTTCATACTGACCTCGGGGATAGGTTCTCTGGACTGAAGGAAGGCCAAGCCATTATGCTAACACAGCGTGTGCTGATTACTGTACTTCCAGACCTCCTGCCCTCTCAGGACTGCTTGGTCCTCACACCTCAACATTCGCCTTTTCATTTCAAGCATAAGGCAATAAATAACCTGCAGCAACGTGGGAGAAACAGTTGCTGGCCCAGGAGAAAAGGCAGTTCCAAGCCAATCCATTCTGAAGGAAGCACAATTTCCACCTTAGTTTTTGAACTTTGATGGTCTCCATGTCTGTCTCTGTGGCTTCAGGGCATAAGGTGATCACCATCCAGGCAGGGAAGTAACCTCACTGGGTTTGTAGGGCCACTGGTGTGAACCATCTCAATAGGAATGTTGCTTTCCTATTGAGGTGCTTCCCTACACTCATTTGCAACAGAAGTTCTTGGGCACAGACCATCTGCCTGGCCACATGGGACAAGAGGGTGGTCAGAGCAACCCTACTGGGTTGCACGTCCGCCGGTTTGAGTCTTCACATGTTTCTGGTGTACCCTGTTGGGCCTTTTGGAGGCAGTTGGTTGAAGGAGCAAGACACTGACTCTTAGGAGTTTCCTCTTCACTGTGGGTTCTTCCCTGACCTTGGAGTTTGGCGTGACTCTTACTCATACTTGAACCTTATTGTCACACCTCTCCTCCAAGTCCCTTTGTGTCATTTGAAAACTACTCCAGACCACAGACCAAAACTCGCCCCCCTGAGGTGGTAGCCGTGGGTACCAGAGAACAAGGATGCCTACTCTGTATTATGGTCAGTGACATTGAAAGCCATCATTTCCCCAGCTTGCTGTCTTTATATGTGCTTGTGTCTGTCTCTTGTGACACTTGTTTTCTTCCCTGACCCTGGGGGTCATATTCAAGCTGTTGACTTCTAGGGTTTGTGGAGTTTGCTATGTGGTACTACTCCTTTTATATCTGTAGATTACTTCTTCTCCAGGGGAAAAGGCAATAATTTCCTAAAACCCATGTGAATGTGAAAGAAAAGCAGTATGTTACTGGTTGTTGTTTATATATATATATATATATATATATATATATATATGTAGTGCAAAATAAAAATCATAAAACGAAAGTACTTCTCTTTTGTCTTGAGTAAATTTGGGTATGGTAAGTGTACTTTGGAAATGGGGCCCAGCCTGACCAGCTGGATTTTACTGCCAGTGACCTCTAAGATAGGTGATGGTCATGGGGTGCATAGCTGTAGGCTTGAGGCTGTGTGCCTGCTGATGAAGTAGTGATCGTAATCGCAGTATACAATGCCGTCTGCCCACTGTGGACACTCCACTCCAAGACTAAGCAAAAGAGTTCCACTGGAACCTTGGATTCTACATCTATGAATATGGTAGACGCTAATTCTGAAACTCCCTTAAAGCTCCAGGCCCTTGATTCCAGCTACTCTGAGTGACCAAGCTTGTGGCCAGCCTCCTCTTCCAGTGGCTGGCATAAGGCAGACCCTCAGAAAACGGTTGACTAAAATGGCCAAGGAATGGAGAAATGAATGATATGATGGTTTAACTTAAGTGCCTGCCCCCTCTTTTTTAACCCTTGGAATAATTATTAATAATTCCCTCCGGAATTCTAGGCAAATCCCTTAATGGAGTGGGTTTAAATCCAAGGCTGAATCAGCTTGCCTTCTGAGTAATTTCCACTGCATTGGTAGAGGAAGGAAGGGGCGTTATAGACTTCTCCCCACAGTTGACCCTATCTCTGCTCCTGCCTAACTGTTAGGGATGGGGGAGATAGTCTGAGATTTGTGCTGCCCTCATCAACTGGTACCCAGTGAAGGGGGGATTCCAACCATACCCTTCAATCCAAGAGGCCAAAGAAGCCTCCAGCTCCCTCATTGTGTACCATGTCAGCAAAATGAGAGCAGAACCCATGGTAGCCCTGCTCTTTATAAGTATCTCACCTCAGAGATTTTGATTGAGGCCTAGCTTTCCACTCTCCTTTCTCCAACTCGCCCGTCACAGGCCCTCAGATGAGAAAGCCCCACTACCTTCAGGAGGCCACGTTTTCTATTGTCCAAGTGAGGGATTCCAGGAAAAGAAAGTGGACAGGGAGCAGAAAGTCCTGGGGTTCTAGCCCTTACCCTGCCCCTTAACTCTAATGCACTTGAGCTCATTTCTTAACCTTTCTGGATCCAATTTGCTCCAGGGTTTGGTTTAGCAGGGCCTCCCATAAATCACCCATGGACTATGTCTTGGAAGCCTGCGCATTGTGTGGGCCTGTCAGGCTGCTGAGTAGCTGGAGGGGCCCCAAGTAGAGCAAGCAGAGAGTGGGTAGTTGGACGCAGTCTGGGTGATATGCTAAGCTGCATCCACTTGCTGACATTTGCTTTATTGCATTAAAGTCTCCAAAGGGTGAGTAAGTCCTCTAAATCAGGCATATGAGGGGTTTTCATAGGCTGGTGAGTCACTGGAGAGTAAGCCAAGTGAAGCCCCACAGCTGGGGATGGTTCTGTAACTCCCTCATTAGTAGGCTCATCAATAGCACCTCCATCTTTGCCAAGATTAACTTCACACTGGCCTCCAAGACCAGCTGGGCATTCATTCTGGCAGTGTCCAGTTGGTTCTTCCATGGGCTGTAAGTAATGTTGATCTCTAGCATCTTCTCAGAAGTGTATCTGGAAAGTAGAGATGTTGATTGTCCCTAATTCTGTTTCCTTGCTATCTTGGTGCTGCGTTTTTTATATTAACCAAATGCAGAAAGGATCAGGGCTCAATAAGAACTCACTTCATTTTGCATTCCAGTGTGAGTTGAGGCGGAGGCAAGACTAATGGTATTCATAGAAAGTTAAACTGGAGTTGCTACTTCGTACCAAATTTCTGTTTGGAGTGATGGAAAGTTTTGGAAATAGTGATAATGGTTGCACAACACTGTGAATGTCACTAAATGTTTAAAAGTGTTTCAATGGGAAATGTAATGTTACATATATATGTATATACTGTACACACACCAAAAGATATTTTAGAAAAATTGTAGCAAATAATGCAAGAATGCCTAAGAGATTAATTGGATTGTGATGGGCAGTTTCAGCTAGAAAGGGCAGCAGTCCTGACAAATTGCCACCTAAAGTGCTTAATGAATCCCTACAGATTGAGTGTTTAATAATAGCACAATAAAGCTCACTCCACTTCCACCCCCATTGTCCTGTCTCCAGTGAGCACCCTAAGGTGATAAATTATGGTACCTAAATTTCAAATCTTGGCTTATTTGTAGTAGCAAAGCAAATCTTGCCCCATTACTTAAAAAGTTTACATAAATCAATATGCCATCAGGTAGGGGGCTTAAAATAGACTCTTCAGGCATCGGTACGTTTGTCACTCTGGCCCTTTCCAGAAGTCAAGAGAAAATGTATGCTGAACAACAACAACCTCCCAGACAGTGAAGCCTCAAATATAACATCATGGTAGGAAGATGAAAAGCCTTTTCTTTCCAGATGGCAAGAAAACAACATTAGCTTTAAAATCGGGAAGCATGGCTTCTGTTTCTAAATCCTGGGAAACTTCATTCTTGGAACTTAAAGGGGAGCTGTCCCCAAAGACATGTGTCAGTGTAAGGGTGGGGATTTTGGAATGGGTGTGGGACAGGGAACAAGTCCTCTAATCCTCCAGAGCCTGCCAGGCTGAAAGCAACTTCAAAAAGTCATGTAGTTCCATTCCATGCCTAGAAGAACCACCCCCGAACCAGTCCAGAATTACCTGTTTTTTATAGAAAAGCAGGGGAGGGAGATGACAATTTCAGAGTTGCAAGTACTTACTCTGGGCAGGCCCCATGCTGGGTGCCTTGCATATGTTCTCCCATTTAAGATCTACAAGAAGCCTACAAGATGGATATTGTTAGCCCTGCTTTACAGGTGAGAAAACAGAGGTTACATGTTTTGAGAGGTTACACAACTAGAGCTTCTCACTGTCAGAACCACGATACCCAACTCACACGGCACTCCAAAGGCCATATTCTTTACCCTACACTGTGCTGTTTTCCCAGAAAAGGAAATTCAAAAGGTTCTCAGTTAATGGGTCTCCATGTCATCCTCAAATATAGTTATGAAATTTATTAGTTCTTTTAAGGATTTCAAGTGATCTCATTATAAAAGTCACTAACTTTGCAAAGCCATCTCTTACATGATTATTTTGTTTAGATTTGAGATTGAATTTCAGGTGGGTTATAAACAAGCTGCTGTGTATTAAGATCATGTCAAACAGAGCAGTGAAGGGATCAGAGATTATGAGGAAGAATTCCCAATAGGAATTAAATAATGATGTTTACATTTTTTAAAAATTAACTTTGTTGTTTTTGTTGTTGTTATATGCCGTGGAGTCGGTTCCCACTCATAGCAACCCTGTACAGGGTTTCCGAGGCTGTAAATCTTTTCAGTAGCAGAAAGCCTCATCTTTCTCCTATGGAACAGCTGGTAGTTTTGAACTGCCGACCTTGAGATTAGCAGCCCAATTCATAACTACTAAGCTTTATTAAGGTATAATTTGCATGAAATAAAATTCACATATTTTAAATGTACAGTTAAATGAGTTTTGATAATGTATATAGATTGTAAGTCAGTTATAACATAAGCCAAATATCTTTTTTCATCATTATTGCCTTTTATTATCAGTACACATATAAATTCAATCTTTGAACATCTTCAGGTGAACATCTGAGAATGATATCAGTAAATTACCTGCTTCAGCATTGTAGGTAGTACATATTACTAATGTTAAGATGTATGAAAAAACAAACAAGCAAAAGCATATGGTCCTAAGTGTGGTTCATCCTAACTGAATACACCGTAAGTTGAGGATTACCCACAACACGACCACATTCAAGATAGAAACTATTTCCTTGACTGCTAACAGTGAATTCCACCCCCTTACGCCGCCCCCAGCCTTTGGCAATCACAGATCTGCTTTCCTTCATTTTAATTTTGCCTTTTATAGAATTTCTGATAAATATAGGTTTTGAATCTGACTTATTTTATTTAACATAATGCATATGACATTTATCCATGTTGTGAGTATTAAGTATTCATTGATTTTTATTGCTGTAATAGTGTTTTCTAAGGAGCTCTGGTAGCGTAATGGTTACGAATTGGGCTGTGAACCACAAGGTCAGCAGTTCAAAACTACCAGCTGTTCCACGGGAGAAAGATGAGGCTTTCTGCTCCCATAAAGATTTACAGCCTCAGAAACCCTGTTCAGGGTCGCTATGGGTTGGAACCAACTAGACGGCACTTAACAACAACAACAATAGTGTTTCATGGTATATGCCAACATTCATTTATCAATTTACCCACTGATAAACATTTTCAGCTTTTGGCT